TTTTAGGAGAGAAATGATGGTTATTTGCACTTAAACATCTCAGAGTTTTATATTTTCAGAAAGTACCCGACCTTTATATCATTTTTAACTTCCATACCCAAACTTTCTATTTTGTCAAAAACAAAAAGGAGTCCGGATTTTCTACAATATTGATGATTGTAAAGAAAGACTATAATTAGCTGCACGAACTAATGCTACTGATTTATCTCAACAAGTCCTATAATTAAATCTTTTTTAATGTAATTTTAAATCTCAACAAGTCCACTGGGTGAGAAGATTTGTTTGGTCTCCACAGCTAAGTATGCAAAGGATCTTTATCGAAAAAAGTACTAAAGTTTATCCCGTCCAGCATTTAAAGAAAATTAAATTCTTAACCACAGGAGAGTTGAACCTGAGATATTAAAGTACTATTAATGAGCAACTTATTGACTTAGCAGACCCTCTTGGATAAAAAAATTGACTTCATATTCAAAACTTAACAATAAATAAGTTTGGCATATCAAAGCAGGCTTTTGTTAAAACTTTAGAGGTATTTCTTGCTCAAAAGGAATTTTTAGAGGTATTTCTTGCTCAAAAGGAATTTTTAGAGGTATTTCTTGCTCAAAAGGAATTTTTAGAGGTATTTCTTGCTCAAAAGGAATTTTTAGAGGTATTTCTTGCTCAAAAGGAATTTTTAGAGGTATTTCTTGCTCAAAAGGAATTTTTAGAGGTATTTCTTGCTCAAAAGGAATTTTTGATATCGAACTCGGTTTTTCTTCAAACTTTGAGGTATTTTTTTGCAAAATAAAACGTTGAGGTATCAAATCAAAGTAAAAAATTAGGTAAAGTTAGGTGTATTTATGTGCTAACCCTATTTATTACGATATTTCATTGGGTTTGAGTCACAATGGGTTTAATAACTAGATAAATTGGGTATGGATTTTGGAAAAAACAATGGCCCTCAATTTTGGGGGATAAAAAACAATAGCCTTCTATTTTGTTAGTACTAATTTTCACTTAGAGGACTAGTATGGAAACATGCAACATTTGGTAGACCAATATGTGAAAACCCCAAACTTAAAAAGATTATATTCGACCCGGTTACGAACCCGTTAGCCTAGTGAACACGAATGTGGATCTCATAAGATCCCAAATGAACCCGACCCGTTCCCATACCCTAATTTCAATAGAAAAACTTCTCCTGCTTTCGTCGTCCTCTCTCCTCTCTCAGCAGTTACGGCGGCAATTAGGGTTTTTCTTTTTGTGGGAATTCGCACTCAGATTCTTTGAACCCTAATTGTCGAAATGTCGACGATCGTACCTACATCGGAGGAGGATCCAGCGCTCGCGGTTGTTCGATTCACTTCTGAGCTCGCCTGGGCCGATGCGGGTCCCGAGGTTTGCTTTCAGTTGCTTGAAATCTTTCATTTAAATCATTTTTCTTTGATTTTATGCAAATTTTATTTTGGAAAATTGATCTATATGAAAGTTCTAGCTCCCTTTGTTTCGAGTGCATTCTAAAGATTAGACTTTGGTATAAAATTTTCAAGCTTCAACGGTAGATGAAGACGATAAAACTGGTATTTTTTTTGATGAATTTACAGAATTTTTTCAATTTATTAGGTATGATGATATAATGATTATTTTATTCAAACTGCTAAATTGCTCCAATATTTTCAATCGGTTATCGAAAGTAGGGTTTTTCGCTGTTGTGTAATCTTTTAAGAGGCCTTATTATGAGAAAGTACTATCTTTTCAAAGGCCTTATTATGAGAAGTTTTATCGAACAGCTTTTTATGCTACCATGTATAAGTTTATAAAATATCATCAATCATCCATGAACTTCCTTGTGTAATGTTGTGTATTTTGTTATAAGCTCTTCTCATTTTTTATTTATATTCTCATTGGATTTTTTTGGCCTTCTAATTGTTGGATATTCGAGTTATATATTGAAGTATTTTTGTATGGCAGGTTGCGGAACCTCAGGTGACTAGAGAATGCATAGAGGCTCAAGATTGCATGTTAAGCCTCAGGTGGTTGGACTTGGCCTCACTCATGCTTACTTCAGCTGACCTTGTTGTTTCTCGGGTCTCAGACAAAGGTATCTCAGTCAGCTGGTCATAATATATTTTGCCTGCTACAATTTGAGTTGTTAATGGGAATCTCTTCACATTCTAACCATTGTATCTGAACATGAGTGTGAGAAACTTAATGGTCATTCAATAATCTAAATATGACTGTCCTCAGTTTTTCAAAGTACTAATACCTAGACATTAGGGTTAGTCTGTCAAATTATAATGCTTTTATTTCTTCAATGAGATTTTTGGTTATGGTCATTAAGGGAAAAAAACAACAACATGATAAATAAAAGCCTAATGGCAGTAAACAGGAACTACATAACCACCAACTTATTTCGATACAGAGTTGTTCCAAAGTAATTATATAGATGAATATCAGGGAGGGAAAATAAATCTGGATAGAAGAGCTCGTCAATAAGTATTAAGATATATTATAGTTTTGAGTTGGATAAAATGAGGACTAATTCGGGTAATAAGTTATGCCATGCATTAATTTATAGTAAATTAAGATTAATACTAATTGACAAATTGTTGAAAGTTTAGTAAAGATCATAAGACACGAGCAGCGTTAAATAGTTCAATGTAAATTGAATCAGAGGCGATTTAGTAAAAATGAAAATCTCCAAATAAGGCACATACAGATAAGTATTGTCTTCAAAACTTACTTTTTGGACAGGGTAGAAAAAATTTGTTTAATTATCGGGTTTGGGTATAGGGCTCAAATGTGAATCCTCTTTATACACATTGTGAAAATTGGAGAATTCGACATTTACAATTTATGGTCAATATCTAGGTGAAATATCATTTACTTTTTTTTGGCAATATTTAGGCGAAATATCCCCGATATTGCTGAAATATCGTCCGTTATATTATTTTACAAAGCTTTTTACAAAACAATATGGTCTCAATATCCTTTACCCCTTTAATTTTTTTTTGGATGATATGTTGTGATTTTCCTATTCAATCACTTGACCTTTTGGCCTACAAAAATTGGCCGAGTTATTGCAATAGAGATATGGACTTTTATTTGTTTATTAAAAATTGTTTTGGATTTATGGCTGAGTTGAAGTTAGTATCTAATCTCTTTTTTCATGTAGTTTTTTTTTACTTCAATGAAAATTAGTGTGTTCATGACTAAGGTAAGAGCCGGCTCGCTTCATGATATGTTATTTTATTGTACTAGCTTTTTGGTAAAATCTTTTATCTTTTGGGCTTTTGACTGTACGGATTAATGTAGGAGTACTCTTTGTCGTCCACGCAGCCCCCAAAAAGTTGGAAAATAGTTCATTTCATGTTATGAAATTACGACATAAAAATAGATCCCTGAGTATATTATTATTGTTGTTGTCGAAGCATTACTTAGGACTTTGGGGTCTTTGATACGGATGATTTTGCACATTCGAGACCTGAGTTAATAGGACTGTGATTTTAGTTGTTTTTGAAATTTGCATGAAATAGTGATACCGAATATGGAAGATGATTTTGTAGTTGGTAGACCAAAGCATGGAGTTCAAATGCCTACAAATCTTCGTCACTACTAAGTTGAATAGTTCAACACATCTATAGATTTTTATCTTCTAGAGCTGAACAACTGTTTTGGATAGTTCAACACATCTATAGATTTTTATCTTCTAGAGCTGAACAACTGTTTTGGTAATCATAATATGGAGTTACTTTCTTGTATGTCATGTCTTGAACAAAGTAATTCATCATCTTCGTTTGAAAAAGAAAAATTGATGTGACTAAGTTTTATCTTACATATTTTTCTGAAATAAATCACGTGAAACTTAGAGATCAACTTTAGAACTACATCTCTTATATAGTAGCTATACATGATGATTTTTCTGAAATTAAGTGATTGGAAAACTTGCTAAAAAGTTGGTTAAATGGGAGATGGATAATTTGCATCCTTTGGTGCACAAGTTTGTGAAGTAGCCTATATTCTAATTTAAGATATGATTTTGGAAGTCTTGTTGTAAAATGATGTTTAGATGTTAGTCAATCATGTAAAAGTTTTTATATGTTCTCAAGTCCTTTGCGGGTGAAATTCCTAGCTCCGCCACTAGTTGAAGTATAACCCTAAGTGTATATCTGCACATGTAAATATCCAGAAAAAAGAATTAGGGTTCCATTGAGGCACCATACTTTCACAAAAGTTTCGGGAAAGATGCAATCTTTCAACAGCTCTATTCTATGGTGCGTCGAGCATGAATATACACACATCATTCGCTATGACACCTGATATTTACTAAATATCTCCAATATACCCTGGTATTCAACATCCACTGTGGAATTTTTCGGATCAACACGGACATGCCCTTGACATCTGATATTTAGAACACAGCCGCCATCCGATGTGGAAATATTCTTTCTGACATGACCCTGATGTCTGACGTTTAGCACACTTGATACTGATCTTTGACACCCTCTTGTTATTGGGTGGAAAAAGTAAGTCATGCTACTAAGTGCCGAATTCATAGTAACCTGTTTTTACATCCAATCAAATAGTAACACCTTGCCAATGGTCTATAACTTCAAATATTTATGTTCAGTGCTTATAAGATATTGTCAATTTCTCATATCTAAATTACTAGATTAAATTAGTTGTCATATCGAGTTATTTCTTATTACGTATTTACCTACAACCGTTCTTTATGTGATTGTAGATCTGGAATGCATATTTACTGTCATATGTAACCTTGTCACAAGAGCTAGCAGTCTAGATGAAGCACTGGAGATGGCAAAACTCATTTCTGCAAAAGTCGCACTGCAACCGAATGATAGACCCGCTCTGCGCTTGAAAATGTAAGTGAAATGTATTGTCTTCATCCAAGAATTGTTAATTGGCTGCTCTCTCTTACACATGTAACATGCTTTGAGCAGCTTATTCAATCTCTACAACCTGTTAGAGAACCCTTACAGCAGGTTCTTTGTTTATACAAAAGCGCTTGACTTGGCAGCAAATGGGAAAGTAATTGAAAATATCATCCCTTCTTTTAAAAAGATTGACAGTTTGTTACAAGAATGGAATATTGGTAAAGTGGATCAGAGGGATCTTTTCCTTACCATCTCTAACATTTTGAAGGATAATAAAAGGTACATACTGATGTTAAAAGCTATGTTATTTTCATTTCCTTCTGCAGTAGCTATATAGAGATTCTGCTTTCTCAATTTGCAGCATGGCCAAAGATTCTTTTAATTTCCTGAACAAGTACCTAGCAACATTTTCAAGTGAGGATGAGGACTCATATGCAACTAATGAAACTAAAGAGGAAGCAGTGCGGGCTATTATAGAGTTTGTGAAGTCTCCAGACATGTTTCAGGTATCCAATGGTAGCTCTATACTGTATATTTATTTATCCTTTTCTCTCTTAGTATTCCTTTTGTATTACCATATTTCTAGGACTGTTTCATTTCTTCTACGGTTAATTCAAGTAAGTTAAGCATTTCTTATCTAGCCAAACAAAGCCTCTTAATTTTGAGAGGAGCTCTGGTAGTCTAGATTTACCAGAGTCTTGCAGTCTTCTCAGTTTTCCTGATTACTGAGGCCTAGATAGCAAGGGCAAGCTCTTCACATGGGTAACCCGATATTCTCTCGATTAAGATAAAGTTGACACTCATAATAGAAAAACAACAGAGCTCTTATGGAAGTTAATGTTAGAAATTGGCAAGAGTTTGAGGATAGAGAAGATTTATTTGTTTCTACTGCTTGTGGTACACAAAATTTTAGTTTTGTACTAATACAAGAGAGCAGCCACAGCAGTCTTATCTTTTTTTGTACTGAAGGTTGATGAGCCCACGCATTCTAGTGTTTTTTTATTGTGTATTAAATGCATCTATAGCGTCTGTTTCTTTTTTCATTTAGTCAAGAGGTTGTTTTAATGGTGTGGGGACTGTCATGTCACTGATTCGTCTCTATTGTCCTATGGTGTTTGTTCTTTTTTTTAATTCATTTGGCAGTAGTTTCTGCTTATTTACAATAAATTTAATTAGGTTTTATTGTGGTTTCTTTGCAGTGTGATCTGCTTGATTTGCCTGCTGTTGCACAATTAGAAAAGGATGAAAAGCATGCCTTGGTTTATCAACTATTAAAGATCTTCCTCACGGAAAGGCTCGATGCCTACGTAAATTTTCATACTGCAAATTCCTCATTACTGAAGGGTTATGGTATGGCTTGTTTACAGTAGCATGATAAAGTTTCTCTATGACTTTTATTTGTCTTTGTAACAGTGGAATTATATCTATAGGTCTTGTGCACGAGGATTGCATGACAAAGATGAGGTTAATAACATTGGTGGACCTCAGTTCCAACGATTCTGGTGAAGTTCCATATTCTGTGATCAAAGAAGCTCTTCAGGTAATCCACATTTCATTAGCAAAATTTTTTTAGTACTCTTATTTTAGGGGATTGTGTTATATAATACAGATCATGGAAGATGAGGTTGAATATTGGGTTGTCAAAGCGATAACCTCCAAACTTCTCGACTGTAAGATGAACCAGATGAACCAAACTGTTATCGTGAGGTAACGTCAACATGATTAGAGTTATCAGTCTGATCTAATTTAGTTTCGTCATATGTAAAAAATATACAGAAAGATATCACGTTATTTCCTGTTGAACTTGTTGTCTTTCTGTAATTAAAGCATCATTGTCTGATTTTGCAGCCGGCATGTGGATCGAGTGTTTGGCCCAGCACAGTGGCGAGCTCTCCAGTCAAAACTTGGAGTTTGGAGGGTAAATTTTTCCCACTTAAAACTCAGTGGACTCTTTTTGGCCATACAGATTCAGATAAATAAATGTTTTTGAATTAGAACACTCAATTAGTTGGATGCTGCATCTAACCTCTTAAGCAGTGCTAAGCAGTGCTAAGCAGAATAAGATGTGGGTTATTTAAGCTTTCATCTTTTGCATTTGTCCACTCTTTTAATTGAATCGAGGGAACACATACTTGTGCATGATTGATTACGCTAAAAGCTGCTTGGTAACCTAAAAGTAACAAGTTAAAATATTTGAGAAAGTATTCTATTTGCAAGGTTCTTTGGACAATAGAAAGTCAAAAGGTAAAAAGAATAAGGTAAGAGAAAAAATAATTAATTTCTCTCAATCACTTCATTTTCTTCGAAATCTGAAGCAAGCGAAAAGGTTAACATGCTGATGTGTGACACCCTCTACTTTGCAAGCACTTTCCACTCATTATCAAATTGTAAGCAGAAAAAGGGGAAAAAAGTGAAGCCATTTTCCAATTCTTGGTTCAGTTGCCATTTACTTTTCTCTTTTCAGTTATCAAACATTCATTCCCTAGATAAGAAACTACAATACTCTCTTGCATGTAAGAATTGTTTACTGATGCGTACAAGAGTTTAGAAGTGTATCTTTACTGTTCATTCAGGAAAATATTGCGAATGCTATCAGCACCATCCAAGTGAAAACGAAAACTTTCCCCCCCTTTTTCTGCTTACAATTTGATAATTTTAAAGATCCCGCGAGGTGGCTGGCGGTTGCTGATATCAAAATAACTAATTATTGTTTCTTCAAAAACTTTTCGCAAACGTTTAATAAAATAGATTTTTTTTTTGGGGAGGGGGGGGGGTTGTTTGTTTTGACGATATTGAAATGACCAACTATTATTTCTTGAAAGAACTTCCCAAATGTTTAATAAAATAGCCAAAGAGAAAGATAAAATAGAGTGAGAACGCATCCAGCAACGCTACAATTGACATTCTCCTCAAACAAACAAAAAAAAGAAAAACAAAAAAACCCTGGCTTGACATCACTCCGTACTCGTCTGCAACCGGTTAACTTATGACCAAGTGAAAGCGACAAAAACCCCTTCAATTTTGTAAAATGTAAAAGCCCTTAACCGTTTCTCTGTCATCACTCAGCACTCTCTCTCTCTCTCTCTCTCTCTCTCTCTATCTCTATCTCTCTCTCTCTCCAGAAACGAAGATTCTCTATTCTCCTCTCTCCCTCTTCCCCCTCACCGCCATGACGATCTCCGAGAGACCGAATTCATCGCGATTTTTCCGAAAGGTCGCTCGGAAGAGAGCGATAGGGAGTATTGAGTGATGACAGAGAAACAGTTAAGGGCTTTTACATTTTACAAAATTGAAGGGGTTTTTGTTGTTTTCACTTGGTCATTAAGTTAACCGGTTGCAGACGAGTACGGAGTGATGTCCAGCCAGAGTTTTTTTGTTTTTCTTTTTTTTTGTTTGAGGAGAATGTCAATTGTAACGTTGCTGGATACGTTGTCACTCTATTTTATCTTTCTCTATGGCTATTTTATTAAACATTTGGGAAGTTCTTTCAAGAAATAATAGTTGGTCATTTCAATATCGTCAAAACATTTGCCAAAAGTTTTTTGAAGAAACAATAATTAGTTATTTCGATATCAGCAACCCCTAGCCACCTAGCGGGATCTTTAAAATTATCAAATTGTAAGCAGAAAAAGTGAAGCCATTTTCCAATTTTTGTTTCGGTTGCTGTTTACTTTTCTCTTTTCAGTTATCAAACATTCACTCCCTAGATAAGAAACTACAAGACTCTCTTGCATGTAAGAATTGTTTACTGATGCGTACAAGAGTTTAGAAGTGTATCTCTACTGTTCATTCAGGCAAATATTGCGAATGCTATCAGCACCATCCAAGCTAACAAGATAACTGATGAAGGAGTAGCAGGGCCAGGTGTGAAGATGCGGTGAATCCTTTCATAGTCAAGAACAAGTTTGAACTTGTTATTGTAGCAGACATGTGATGTGTTTTGAAACATTGATACAATCAAGAGAATTCAGCAAATTTTGTTTTTGACTTGTTAGGTGTACTGAGATTATATATTCTTCCTTTTGTTTGTGGTACTGTTGTGGCTATTGAATTATACGATTACTTTGGCTGCCTCAACTGTGGAATGATCATGGTTGCTTAATTTCAAAATTGCTTACATTAGCCTTCTTGTTTATGGTAGCGATTGATGAGTTTGGAAAATATCAGTTATTAGTGTTGCGCTATGATGGTATTATAGTTTTATTGTTTACATTGTGAATCCAATTGGCACGGTGGCTAAAAGTTGCAGCTTTATGCGTTCATGAAGCTATTGATTATAAAATGTGCAGGTTGTATTCGTTGACTAAATTAACTTCAAAACTAGAGGTGAGAATATTAAACTGGTAAAATGTGCTTGTAAAACTTCTTACGCTAGTTTTTTTACTTTTCCATTGATTTTTATCTTGAAGCGTACAGGAATTACAGAGCATGCGGCATGCTGAGATTTTACCATTGCTTCTTTAGCTCAAAAGTGTATAATCAAGTCTTCAGACCCTACTCTTAGTTTGTTGTCTGATTTTGGCATCAATTTGCCAAGATGTTGGTATGGGATGATATGTCATAAAAGTCCAGAAAATATCGATCACTGTTAAGAAGTCCTTGGAGTATAACAGGTTATTTTGATGTGAAGAAGGCAGTAACATGGAAACAATTATGATGGATGTCAATACATAAGTCCCTGCGCACATTTTACCCCGACAAATCAGCATACACTTGCAGGCGCATAAGTATGCATATATGCGACAAACATACAGATATACACCTATATACATACACAGATGCGTCGCTTGATCAGTTCACTGGCTGATCTTATGTAGGATGCATCAACCTGCCAAAACTTCTTGGTCATTCATAATAAACAGAGATTAGTAATCCAAGGTAAGAAATAAAATATATATATAAATAAATAAACTATAAGCAAGTAGATTATTCACAAATGATCATCATAAAAAATTTTGACGATACAATATGATCTCAGCTTAGCAATTTAGTTAGTTAATGGCATAGGCATGGATAAATTAAGTAGCAAAGCTCGATGAACTGTCTATTTAAATACATGGCATAAAAATGGTTTTGAGTATCTAAGTTTGTGGATAGAACCCATCTCACATAAATCATATTTAATCAGGAATTTAACGGCTAGTGAACTGTCTAGTTACATGCATACCTTAAAAAAGGGTAGGCATGAGGAAAGGAGCAAAGCTTGATGTTAGTCCAAGAGTACTTCAGTGATAATGGCACAAACGTTCTCATTCATTTATTCCCATAATTTTAAGCATATTCACGGTTTGCATGAAACAAAACCATCCGCATCAGATAACTGCAAACAGATATAGGGCTAATAGATCTGCAACACTTCTTTGTTACTAATTATATCAGACCACATGCTCCTTAATAAATATTAACCCCCCAAATCTAAAATGCTTCAAAAAAGATGCTTCTCATAATTACAAGAGAGAGATAGAAAAAGCTTGGAAAAGTACTTGAAAACTATAAACCTCACCGAGTCCTAACACCATTATTATTCCCAAAAACACATATGAGAGGATAAGCTTTCTGAGTTTGTTCATCAAAGTTCCAAGGCAAAATACTTGATGACAGTTCACAACTAGTGAGAACTTTAAACGGCCTTCCTGAAAAATAGTTGAAGTTAGCTGGGGTTTGCAAAAGGTAGTGTTGAATTATTAACTACTTGTGGGAGAAAGGCAAGTTGAGTTACAAGATTTACATGAGTTAGGTTTAGTTATAATTTAAACAATTGTTCTAATTTATGTGCAACTTATTTGACAGGGAGTTAATTAAGAAGAGAGGGATGATGGTGCATTATAGCATATGATACAAAAATAAGATGTGATATCCGGAATAGTTTGCTCTACTTAGGATACCTTATGCATAATTAAAAGTGTAAAAAATTTGGGAAAATTGTGTCAAGGCCCCGACAATAATAACATCATGTGACCTAGTCTCTCCGTCTTTTCGCCATATGGATCAGCCCTAAAAAATGTCACTTCATGTGATTCATCTCTTTATTATATGGCAACTAAGCACAAAGAGAGAGAAACAAATAGAAAAAAATGAAAATGCCCTTATTTCTTCCTCTCTCTTCTCTCTAGATCTAAATCTGCTCCTCCTTCCTCCTCTTCTTTCCTCCTCTCTCCTAACACATTTCCTTCCTCCTCTCTCTTCCTTCTTTTTATCTCAGACACCAACATCCCCCTCTGTCACCGCCGACCATCCCGGCCATGTTGTTCGCTCCTTTTCTCCCACTAATTTTTCCCACTCTCTCTCTTTCTTTTCACCTCAAAACTAAAAAAAGCCCTCAAATTCGTCGGAGTTCTAGTCGGAGCTAGGATCCGTCAAAGAACACATTGGTCTCCGACATTGAAGGTGAAGAGGTGGCGAATAACGAGGCGGAGGAGGTGGTGAGGAGGAGGACGAGGCGAAGAGGTTTTTTCCTATCAAATTTGGTTCATGTTAAGTCCAATTTGGTTCACGTTAAATCCATTTTGGTTCATGTTAAGTTTAATTTGGTTTGTTAAGTCCAATTTGATTCATGTTAAGTCCAATTTGATTTTTATTAAGTCTAATTTAAATCATCTTTAGTCTAATTCAACTTGTTTTAATTCGAATTTCATATTAAGTCCAATTTGATTCATGTTAAGTCTAATTTAATTCTTGTTAAGTCAAATTTAAATCATGTTAAGTCTAGTTCAACTTGTTTTAAGTCTAATTTCATATTAAGTCTAATTTGATTCATGTTAAGTCTAATTTCATATTAAATTTCAATTTGATTCTTATTAAGTCTAATTTAAATCATGTTAAGTCTAATTCAACTTGTTTTAAGTCTAATTTCATATTAAGTCTAACTTGATTCATGTTATAAGTCTAATTTAATTCATGTTAAGTCAAATTTAAATCATGTTAAGTCTAATTCAACTTGTTTTAAGTCTAATTTCATGTTAAATCTAATTTAATCATGTTAAGTCTAATCTAATTCCTGTTAAGTCTAATTTAAATCATGACAAGTCTAATTCAACTTGTTTTAAGTCTAATTTTACATTAAGTCTAATTTAATTCATGTTAAGTCTAATTTAATTTCATGTTAAGTTCAATCTAATTCATATTAAGTCTAATTTAACTTGTTTTTAGATTTTAAAAAAGTTAAATTAGATTTAACATGAACCAAATTAGACTTAACATGAATCAAATTGGACTTAACATGTACCAAACTGGACTTAACACGTACCAAACTAAACTTAACATATAATTCATTACTTAATGTTCAACCAATTAGACTTATTATTCAATTCAATAGACTTAACATACAAGTCATTGGACTTTACTTTTAACTCATTAGATTTAATATTCCATCTTGGACTTGAACTTAATATCAAAAATTGTCAAAAAAAATGATAGCTTAGAGGTCTTGAATTTGTGACGGCCTCGAGCTTCTCCCCATCCTCCTCCGTCACCGCAGCCTCCGCCTCATTCTTCGCCACCTCTTCGCCTTCGGTGTCAGAGACCAATCTGTTCTTTGACGGATCCTCCGACTAAAACTCCGACGAATTTGAGGGCTTTTTTTAGTTTTGGGGTGAAAAGAAAGAGGGAGTTGGGGAAATTAGTGAGAGAAAAAGAGCGAACAACATGGTCGGGATGGTCGGTGGTGGCGGAGGGGGATGTCGGTGTCTGAGAGAAAAAGGAGGAAGAGAGAGGATGAAGGAAATGGGTTAGGAGAGAGGAGGAGAGGAGAGGAGGAAGGAGGAGCAGATTTAGATCTGGATAGAAGAGAGATGAAGAAATGAGGGTATTTTTGACTTTTCTATTTGTTTCTCTCTTTGTGCTTAGTTGGCATGCAATAAAAGGCTGAATCACATGAAGTGTCATTTTTTGGGGCTGGTCCACATGGAGAAAATGTGGAGGGGCTAGGTCGCAAGAAGTTTTATTATTGAGGCCTTGACACAATTTTTCCAAGAAATTTATATGCTTGGTGTGTGAGTATTATCAAATCTATTTGATAATATGATTCATTATTTCCTCCTAATTTTTTAAATCAGTCTCTTCTCCACTTGAAAACTGCCTCAGGTGCCTTGTTTATGACTCAGCAATATATCAATGTGTTTTCTTAGTTATTTGATATGATCTCCCCTAATTAAGATATTATATTTGTTTGCAAGTTATGGAATCTCAAATAAGGGGAAAAAAGACAGAAGATTATATTTTAAGAGAGTGGGAGAAACCAGCAACAACATAGTATGCCTGTCTGCTTACTTAAAAACAACTGTGAAATAATGTTTCTATTAATTCTAACGAAGCTATTTTACATACATTTATAATCTAAACTTTCATGGACGTACAATTCACGAAGCTTATAGAGCGCAAATAATAATGGTGAAAATTGTTTATGTAAACTTGTCTAAAATTTATAATCTAGCTAGCTCCATTTGATTATATATGTACTGTAACAAATCAATCTGAAGTAAAGCATATGCTAAAAAAGTTTGTTGCAAGTAAAATTGTACACTTCAGCATAGGAAAAGGCTATGCAATTTACATAGGCAACAAGAAACAATAATTTCTACTTGAACATGGAAGAACTTACTAGGTGACTTCTAATACCAAATAAATGGCAGCTCAGTTCCTGAGGCTACGATCATTGCAGGCTGTGGAGAGGGTCATATGTACGTAAACTCACGCTTGCATGCAGAGAGGCTATTTTCGACATACGAACCTGTTTATCCGCAACACAAGGCAGCAACCTTACCATTGCGCCAAGGCTCAACTCAGTGGCCTACTCGTTTGCTTCGTACTCAAATAGTTGAGTGAATTAGGTAAGGGCTGGTCATGATGGAAAAGATGGGCACATGAAGAACGATGCTCAGCTTTAATATGTGAGATGAGGAGACGAGAGAGGGAGAGAGAGAGAGAGAGAAGCGAGAGGAGAGGAGAGAGAAGAGAGAGTAGAGAGAGAGACGAGAGCGAGAGGGCGGGGGGAGGGTGGGAGGGGGGAATTGGTTAAGCTAGATAGATAGTAGTTTTTTTTTTTTTTTTTTTTTATGCACGTGCCCTGCTTCTCCATCCTGCTCAGCCTACCTCTCAATGCTAAAAATAACCTGCAGGCCTCCTCCAC